GATTATGAAAAACTAAGTATACCATTAAAATCCTGAAGTCCCAATCTACTTATATATACAATATCAAGTTGAAGATATGAAATTTGAGAATCTATATCAAGTCCCTAGTGTTTTTTTTGGTATACCCAGCATTTTTGTGCTGTCCAAATCAATTTACCAATTTACTTTTTTAAAAACTAACCTTCTCGTTACTAGTGATAGTGTTCTTAACCAATTAATTCTTGACCAATTCTTTAGCTAAATGTTCAAATTGTGGACGTTTCAAAGGTTTGGTCATGATATCAGCTAATTGATTTCTAGTCTCAATATATTGGATATTATAATAATTATCTCTTTCAAATTGACGACAATAGCTTAATCTAATGTTTAAATGACGATTCTTCTTATTGAAATCATCTGATAAAATCATATTTATAGCAGCAGTTGAATCAGTAATGATTTTGGTCGGACTTAATTCCTGATTTGTCATAAATTCAACCATTCTTCTTAACCACAAATCATTTTTTACAGCATTTGAAAAAGCAATTACTTCACTTTCAGCTGGTGAGAACGTAGTTATAGATCCACCTTCTGATGACCATGATATTGGTGTACCATCAATAAATGACACAATTCCAAATGTACTCTTAAATTGTTCATCAGATGAATGACTTGCATCAACGAAAGTGGTAATCTGTGTATCCTTCTCTTCTTTTTTTGAAAAGATAAGTCCTTTTTCAGTGGATCCTTTTAAATAGCATAACAATCTGTTCAGGAAATTAAAAACTGCATTGCTTGGTGTAAGTTGGAATTTAGTAGCATAATTGATACTGAATGTAATATCAGGTCTGGTATTGGTACTTAAAAATAAGATGGAACCCATTATTTGTCTAACAGTATTAACTTTTCTGTCATAATCTGGATCTTTTTCAGCTTTATAAGAAGTATTGTCAATATATTCTGTAGGAGGAGATGGTTTGACTTTAGCATCTTCATTCAAAAATTTCTTGATTAGATCTTCAGTGTACCTTTTCTGATGCAATTTTATGGAAACCCTTTCACCATTTTGAAAACTCTCTTCAATTTCGATCCCTAATATTTTTCTAGTTTGTATATTCCCTTGAATGACAGGATCAATGGTTTTTAATTTGACTTCTTTACCTAAACCTTCTACTATCTCTTGATAAACTTGATCAGACTTACTGAACAGAATGAGATCATCAACAAATGTCAACAAAATACCGACTAATTCATTATTTTCATTGAATTTTTTGTAGACACAAGGAACTTCGATATCAGCTTTTAAACCTAATTTGTTGATCAAAATATCACGTAAATGATAATAAAAATTGCGACCTGAAGACCTAAGCCCATAAAGTGATTTCCTCAATTTTAAAACCAACCTTTTACCTTCTGGAATTGATATTGGGTCATAATGATCAGCATCTTGTTTCTTGAATTGATGGTAAAATTGAGGTATATAAATGAAAGAATTATCATTATTAATTGGACTGGAAACGAAAGCATTGGAAATATCGTGTTGAGATAACTTGAGATCATTTTGAATGGCATAATTAATACTTGAACGTAGGACATCAGAGCTTAATGTAGGAGAGTAACAGTTATCATTTTCATTTATCGACTCGAGGTCGCCTCTAGCACACAACCTGGCCTTAAATTTAATGCTATTATCAATATTTAATTTCTTATTTAATCTCCATGTGGTAGGGATGATGTTGATTTTCTTGTTCTTGATATCTTTTTCATCAACCAATGTCTCTTCAAATGTGTAATATTGTAGCAATTCATACAATTCATTATAAATAGCGGCTAACCATTTGACTTTTTCAGGTGATTTGAGGAACTTGTTTAAATTGTTGATAACCTTATCTGATTCTATGGGTTTCTTCCTCTTTACTAATGTTTCCATTGATTTATTAGATTTGGAAATAATGTCTTCAAATGGCCTTTTATTTATTTTTGGTGTTTGGGTTTTCGCGGTGGCAAATTCTGAAGTTTGAAAATCATTGAGAACTTTACCATCTATAATACCAACATCTGCTCTATCTAAATCAATAAAAATATCTTGACCATTCTTAATGTTCTTATCAGAATCGTGAGTAACTTGAGATTGAGCACTATCATCAACATCATTTGATTCCAATGTATCATCTATCATTTGAACGTCTCCATCAGCATCAAGATTTGTTGTCTTTTTGGTTTCACCATTAGTTTCATCTGATATATTTGAGGTTTGATCAATGCCAAAAATATTAGAACCAATGTTATCATCTTTATCATGTGAATCTGGAGCAGAATTGTTGATATCAGCTGCATTTGATGTTGTATTTGATACTGGATTTTGTGTACTAACATTTTTAACAGATTCATCATTTGAAGGTATATCATTAACGTTATTAACATCATCATCTTCAACTTTATTGTTATCAACGTCATTAAGATCTTTAGCAGTCACATCTATGTCTTTGTCAACAAACATTTTATCTTGATTTGAATTATCTAATGTTTTATTATTAAAATCATGTTGTGAAACTTGATGATCCATATTCATGTCATTTGATTCATTTAATTCATGTATACCATCTGGATGTGATTGTGCCATTTGAGAATTCAATTCATTTTCAACTAATTCAGCTGGTGGATCCCAATAACTATCCTTATTGTTCTTTTCAAATAACTCATCATCATCATTTTTGTTTTCAGAAATTGAATTTTCATCATCTTTATCATCTTCATCAACTAATCCCATAGATGGATCAACATTCAAGTAATTTTGGTTAGATAT